CCGCGACGACCGCTCTAAAGTTAGTAACAACCACTGGATAAATGGCACATCCTAAAAACCCGAACTGATGAAGAATCCCAGCTATAATGATCGTAAAGTTAAACTATCGTTCGGCCGTCCTTCTTTTTCAATGCGCAAGACTCTTTTCCGTCCAAGTGTCCCGGTCGTAAAGTCTATGCTGTCCAAGGCAAATGGACAAACGAGTGGAATAAGTAAAAGTCATAGACCTCCAGGAAACTCATCAGAGTTAATGAACAGTTGGAAAATGATAAGAAGAAAAAAAACGACGAAGAAGAAGAAACGAAGGACAGTGTTTGGACCTGCCGTGGGCGCGGGCTAATTTAAACGGCAAAAAAAGATGCTTAATGTTTCGAGAATCCCTTTAGGGACCAAAGTTACGCTGAGGACTCGGTTGGTCGATGAGGCTGGCCGAATGAGAAGGGAGAAAAGTGGAACGGAAAAGGACAGACACGCCGGCCATGGTTATGAAGGTAAGGGAGAGGGACTTTGGTCTTCAAAGTATAATGAGAGAAGAACAGTAAGAGAACAGAGGGAGAGAAAGAGAGAGGAAGAACGTGTGCGCGTGTGTGTATCGCTGACGTCGTTGCCCTAGTACAGTGTTATGTATATATCGATCTCGGTCTTACGAGGGGTGGTTAAACTATATTTGAACTACCAACAGCGAGAAGGAAAGGGGGAGCGGGGAGGGAGGAGGAGGGAGAGAGAAAGAGAGAGAGAGAGAGGGGGGGAGAAGGAGAGAGAGGGAGAGAGAGAGAGAGAGAGAGAGAGAGAGAGGTTTACGAGTCAGTGGGGACACGACGTGTAACGTGCTACCGAAATCTAGCGTGAAAATAAAAGAAAAAACCAGCACGAAGGATTGTAAGCGCGCGCGTCCTAGTCCCAGCCTTCCAGTTCGCTTCCATCGCATATCCATCCTCTTCGTCGTCAAATGCATTTCAAAGACACGCCAGAGTAAATTCGTATGGAAATGGGACATCCCATTGCAAAATGACAATATGATATCCATTTCAAATAACTATTTGACATTCATAGGATGGGTACCATAACAAATTGGATCATGTTTTTGTATTCCCATGACCAATATCGATGACCTTATTTACATGACGTACGTGCTCCCTATTAATTGACCTGATCAGAATATTTCGAACAGTTGTCAAAACTTTATCGAAATTTTATCCAAAATCTGACGAAACGACGGTTGCGTGATTAAGTAACTATAACACGAAGTGCGTGTCCTCAGCCATTGACCTAATGTCAATTGCAATTTAACCTCCACGAGATATCGAATGCGGAAGCAGGTCAATAATATTTAATAGAGAAACCGAGAAGGATGAGGAAAATTATTACAGCTATAACCAATTACTTCTTGCATATTTCATTAAGAATACGTAACGATAAAACGACAGGAAAATTTCACGCTTTGTCTTTCATTATTCTTTCTAAAGTGATTAACGTTAAGTTTTACATCTAACTGCTTTATATATGAAAGACAGTAAAAGTCTTTGAAACCCCATAATTACACGTAAAAAAAGTGTTGAAGAGACATAGCACAAATTACCATTTCCACAGCCGATAATACTTTTAAATAGTAATTGCTGCGGTTAGTATAGCCGAATTTAGTATGTGCAACAAAAACTTTCGGATATGGAATAATGTTTTCATGAAACGCCATTTTAAATAGCGAGTTTATTATGTGATATTTTCAATTGTTTTATGTGAACGCATAAATTTGTTATGTGACGATTCATTTTCCTCCAGTGAACTTACAAATTTGGAGTTCCTTGCTCTTTTTTGACCATGCAATCAATTTTCTCATGTCACATGGCAAAATGTAACCACATTTTTTTTTTATTGTGTAAAAAATTGTAAATTGTGTAATACACTTTTTCCGTGTAATGAACGAAAAATGTCAAGCTGCAGCCACTAGCCGATCTTTAAATGATACCTCAAGCAGATTTGTACATGCATGTTAATCATCCAGTTCTTTTGAAATTAAATAGTTATTAAATGATAGTAATAATGCAAGCAAAGATATTAAATTTAGGTATATAATATTAATATACTAATAAAGTTTAAGAGCCACGGCTAAGAGCTACCGAGATATCAGTTTCAGTTTAATATGTACATAATGAGTGTTAGTGAAGTATGTAATTTTTAAAGATGAAAATTTTATCCCTTTAAGATATGATATAACTATAAAGTGCCTCTTGAAGACTTGGCGCGAATATGAGAAAGTTATGAAAGAAGAGAAAGTAATATAGCTGTTACGTATCTAAATGAAAATTAATCAATCTCAACTCTGTCGGAAGCCAACATGAAGAAAAATGAGGTTTTATAAAGCTCAGACAGAAAGTGCACGAAATCTAATCAATGAATAGCCTCGAATTTTTAGGGGAGCTGGTGAAGACGCGCGAAGAACATGTCCTAATTCACATGCAAATAAGTATTTATATGGTAACGTATAACATAAAAATTAAAATATATCTAAGCAACTGTATAGGGATATTCCATGATATATAGAAAAATTCTATTCGTCTTAATGAAAGCAAACTTTTGGACGGATAAAATTTACAATTAGATACTGTAACGTAATTTTTCTTTTCCTTGACCCGACACCGATAGCAAGACATACGGGAACGACTATCTTTGAGAACCAACCTACGTTACCTTCGGCCGTCCACCCGTCGTTCGTGCATCCGCAAGCCAGGCGGGCGCCAGCCAATTCTTTTTTCACCGGGAACTGACGAGCCGGTATAAACTGGGAGTTGGGATGGAACAGGCCCAACTCCACCAACAACGAGAACTCTGACGGAACCTATCGGACGAGGCGATAGCTTAACGGATCCTGTCGATTTTTGGGGACGCGTAAAATCGAGAAACGCAACCGTAGGTGCTGATCTTTGGGGTCGCGTAAAATCAGCAAACGCAACTGGATACACGAACGGGAGCGGACGGTTACGGAAATGCACGGCCGCTCAGGCTGCTAGGTTTGAGGTAGAGAGGGTCGGAGTAAGAGTCCGGCAAATAGTGCGAGAGACAGAGAGCGACGAACCGAGAACGTATCAGAACGAATCTTAATTGTCTATCGAGATCCCTTCACCAATTAATAAATTGGGAATCCTCA